AAGTTCGGTCCTCAACCATTCTGTATTTGCTGGGTCCTGTAAAAGTGACGAGTTTAGACGCCATCTATAAGACCTTCTTCTCTCATCTTGTGGTAACAAGTCCAAACTGACAGTAGCATGATCAGAGATCAAAATAGACCCTATTTCACATCTCACTGCACAGGGACTGAGCTCTTTGGATATTAGGAAAAAATCTATTCGGCTATAAATCTTATGTACTGATGAGTAAAAAGTATAATCCCTCCCTGACGGGTTCATGAGCCTCCAGATATCTATCAATCCTAAAGATTTGCAAATTATTTGTAGTGTCAAAGCGGCTTTTGGCATTTTACGCAACATTGCCCCACTGTGATCAAGCACTGGGTCCATTAACAGATTGAAGTCTCCTCCAAGAACAACGGGCTGAGCCCCCAGTATTTGTAACTTCCCTTCAAGATCAGAGAAAAAAGATTGATCGTCCAGATTAGGAGCATATATATTGGCCAAAATTAGTTTCTGCGACTGTATTTCAGCCAGTACTATAATCATCCTACCTGTATTATCTCTTATTTGCTTGAGACACTTAAATTGTAGATGTTTACTTACTAAAATTATAACCCCTTTACTCTTGCTGGAGCCTACACTGTAAAAAACATGTCCAACCCATCCTACACAGAGCTTCTCAGATTCTTCTTTTGACATGTGAGTTTCTTGAAGAAACACCACATCATATTTTTTGGCCTTAAGGATGGCCATCACCTTTTTTCTCTTGACGGGATTCCCCAAACCATTAACATTCCAAGTGGAGAGACGCATTAAATTTAATTGTGAAGACATGTCTGCCTAATCATCGATAACACATGGCCGTTTATCAAAAGCAATATCCTAACAGTGGTGGTGACTGTACCCCGCCACCTCCCCCAAGAAAAAAAATAAATAATAATAATAAATAACACAAATTTAGTGCAATTAAACCTGAACTTTGCACATTCTAACCCCCTCAAAAGTCCCTCTAACCGAGGTCTGACGGTCCGTGTCAGGTCCGCGGGGCTCCACTTGTCGTGATCCCTCACTCACCGCTACCGCACAGGAAAATAAGGCAACACCAGTGTCCTCAGCAGACGTTTGGGCGCGCAGGATACCAATATGAACACCTCCATCCATCAATACTCACTGCAAAGCATCTATGAAGGCCATGGCTTTCCGTGGGCACTCAAAAGCTTTCTCACCGCTGCCGGTCTCAATTCTCAGCTTAGCTGGGAACAGCATCCTGAAACCAACCCCTCGGTCGTGCAGTTTTTTCTTGCAATCTTTGAATTTCTCACGCTTCATCTGGGTGGCCCTGGAGTAATCGGGGAAAAGCATGACAGTAGTATTCCCCCAGGTCAGCTTGCCTTTGTTCCTCGCTGCTCTCATCACCGCATCCCGGTCCAACGATCTCAAAAACCGGGCCAGTATTGGTCTGGGCCGGTCGCCTGGCGCTGGTCTCTGGCTCGGGACCCGGTGGGCCCGTTCAATCTCCCGTCTCCCCTCGATGTTTAGCAGACTCGGCAACAGCTCCTCCAGAAATCTCACCACGTCTCCTGCCTCCTTACCCTCCGGAAAGCCGACGAAACGAACGTTGTTACGCCTTGAGCGATTCTCGATGTCCTCTAATTTGTCCCATATCTGTGCGATATCAGCCTTGTTAGCTGGCGGGTTAGCTTGCCAGCCCTGCTCAGTCACTTCCAAGTACTCCACTCGTTTCTCTACGTCGTCCATTCTTGTAATAAGGGATGATAGTTTAGCTTCCACCGACGCTGTGGTGCGACGTATTTCTGCGAGCCCCCCGAGATCTTCAGAAATCTTTGTAAGCATTGAGTAGATGTTGCTAATATCTTGAGCTAAGTCGTTAGCTTGCTGCTGCTTGGGCGCTTTAGCTCCATCTTGCATCATGGCGTCGGCCCCCTGAGACCGTAGTAGTCTTTTTATGTCTCCACAGCCTGAAGTCTTAGAAAGTTTCGACATTTTTAGCACCCCCTTCAACTAAAAGTACTTAGTCTGAGTGATAATATATCTGGTGTTGATATTAAACAGGATAAAGATAGCAATGAAGTGCGGAGCTCCCTACTCCGTGGCTTCCTCTCGCATCACGTCGCGTGACTCCCATCATGGGGCTAGGTTAAGGTTTAAGGTTTTTGGCGTGGAGTTAAAATCACTGTCCAAAACCTTTGTAGGAAGTCTTTTCCAACCTTTTGGAGTTAGTTAGACCAATAAAAAAATGTAAAATGAAAAAAATATATTTGGGGTGTTCGGGCTTCCTGAAGGTAATATACGGGTATTAGGTTTTGGGGCTAGGATTAGGTTTAAGGTTTTTGGCGTTAGGGTTAAAATCACTGTCCAATTTTTTTTAAGGAACATGTTTCAGACCTTTTGGAGTTAGTTAGACCAAAAAAAAAGAAAAAAAAAAAATATTTGGGGTTTTCGGGCTTCCTGAAGGTATTAGGTTTTGGGGCTAAGGTAAGGTTTAAGGTTTTTGGTGTTAGAGTTAAAATCACTGTCCAAAACCTTTTAAGAAACAAGATTCAGACCTTTTGGAGTTGGTTACACCAAAAAAAAATGTAAAATGAAAAAAAAAAATATTTAGGTTGTTCGGGCTTCCTGAAGGTAATACCCTTCAGGTTTAAGTATTAGGTTATGGGGCTTGGATTAGGTTTAAGGTTTTTGGCGTAAGGGTTAAAATCACTGTCCAATATTTTTTAAGGAACATGTTTCAGACCTTTTGGAGCTAGTTTGACCAAAAAAAAAAAGAAAAAGAAAAAATATATATTTGGGTTGTTCGGGCTTCCTGAAGGTAATAGCCGGGTATTAGGTTATGGGGCTAGGTTAAGGTTTAAGGTTTTTGGCGTGAGGGTTAAAATCACTGTCCAAAACCTTTGTAGGAAGTCTTTTCCAACCTTTTGGAGTTAATTAGACCAAAAAAAAAAAGATAAATGAAAAAAAAATATTTGGGGTGTTCGGGCTTCCTGAAGGTAATACCCGGGTATTAGGTTATGGGGCTAGGGTTAGGTTTAAGGTTTTTGGCGTAAGGGTTAAAATCACTGTCCAAAACCTTTTTAGGAACATGTTTCAGACCTTTTGGAGTTGGTTACACCAAAAAAATGTAAAATGAAAAAAAATTTTTTTGGGTGTTCGGGCTTCCTGAAGGTAATACTAGGTTTCTGGGCTAGGGTAATGTTTAAGGTTTTTGGCGTTAGGGTTAAAATCAATGTCCAAAACCTTTGTAGGAACTCTTTTCCAAACTTTGAGAGCAAGTTAGACCAAAAAAAAAAGAAAAATAAAAAATATATATTTGGGGTGTTCGGGCTTCCTGAAGGTAATACCCGGGTATTAGGTTATGGGGCTAGGGTTAGGTTTAAGGTTTTTGGCGTAAGGGTTAAAATCACTGTCCAAAACCTTTTTAGGAACATGTTTCAGACCTTTTGGAGTTGGTTACACCAAAAAAATGTAAAATGAAAAAAAATTTTTTTGGGTGTTCGGGCTTCCTGAAGGTAATACTAGGTTTCTGGGCTAGGGTAATGTTTAAGGTTTTTGGCGTTAGGGTTAAAATCAATGTCCAAAACCTTTGTAGGAACTCTTTTCCAACCTTTGAGAGCAAGTTAGACCAAAACAAAAATAAAAAATGTATATTTGGGGTGTTCGGGCTTCCTGAAGGAAATACCCGGGTATTAGGTTATGGGGCTAGGGTAAGGTTTAAGGTTTTTCGGCGTGAGGGTAAAAATCACTGTCCAAAACCTTTGTAGGAACTCTTTTCCAAACTTTGAGAGCAAGTTAGACCAAAACAAAAAGAAAAATAAAAAATATATATTTGGGGTGTTCGGGCTTCCTGAAGGTAATACCCGGGTATTAGGTTATGGGGCTAGGGTTAGATTTAAGGTTTTTGGCGTTAGGGTTAAAATCACTGTCCAATATTTTTTAAGGAATGTAGCAATCAAGACAACCCTGGGTGTGAAACCCACACATTCCTCACAGGAAAGTTCCTTATCTGGTCCCAGGAAACAGGATATAAATCTTTCCAGACTCGTTTACACTTTCAGGTTAAATAAGTGACCCAACCGGAGGTTGACTAAACCTCCGACTCTTCACGATTGGTCAATTCGGAGAACAGAGACAGAGTTTTATTACCTTTCAAACTGACTCCATTTGCTGACCATCTAAATAAACATTAACGTCTCAACCCAGATCTCCCATTTGAGATTTAGTGTCTTAAAGTGTGTGAACATACGGACCCTAGGAAAAGGGGGGACACTGACCTCCAGACCTCGGTCGTAAAACCCTGCTCGACCATACACTGATAAAGACTGCATTCCTTTGGTGAAAGAATACAAATGACTGATCCTGACATCTTATGCATTCAGCAATGTACTAACCTGTCTAATCATGAAATTTGTGTTAAAATGAGATGTTTCCCGTTTTTCTATGTGCTTCAGAAGCCAAGTTATCTTATCTGACAGAATAAATCCTTATTCTTTAGTTCTTTAGACCAACAGCTTTTCAGACTGTTTCATGAACTTTTAAGAGTTAAATTTATTGACTATGAATCCTAAGTTTACTCTAAGTAACAGAAATAGTTTAGAAATGTTTGGTTTATATTTTAGTTATTTATTTAGTATCTTAACCATTAGGTGGTTATAATGTCACTGAATAATCTGAATGTGAGTATTTAGAATCCATTATTAATCATGATGACGTTCATTCACATGTGTTTACTCTTTTGTTGTTCACAGTTTACATGTGTTACTATCTGTTTCATTTCAGAGTAATTTAGCATGTTCAATGTGATACTTAAAACATAATGAGAATGTTTGATGTGATCCTACACTTCATTCATATGTGTTTAGTATCAAATTATTTATCATGAAACCAAGCATTCAATGATATTAATCATAGTGAGTGAGTATCAGATCTGACTCTTTTACCAGCCAAAAGAATAAGTTAGATCAAATAATCAGAGACCCGATGACCCCTCCTCTTTCTCCTCAGACACTCCCAGTGTGAGAAGATAAAACCAGTGGAGTGGGGTTGCTCACTCTCTTATTCCTCTCTTATGCTTCTGCTCTTCTGCTGACTCTCTTGTCCCCGGCTCTTATGCCCTTCTCTTCTGCCCACACCCTTCTGTGGTGCGTTTCTTTGTTTTCTCTTAGAACTTTTTCTTAGTCTTCTAAGTTTTACGCCACGTGTTGATTCACGTTGATTTTTCTTTAACATCGTCTTAGTTCAAGTTTTGAAACTTCAACTTTTTGTGCGCATAGCAATTCAAGATTAAGCCTTTGATTGATTTTTCTTTAATTTCGCGAAGCCATTTTTGAAAGTTTTCTCTGCTCGAGTCTCGTTTTTCTGAGTTTTCTGCGTGATTCAAAGTCACCTCTGAACGCAACCCAGCAGGCCCAGGTCATCCTCTGTGCCAGAGTTTTAAGTGAGACCAAAGAAGTACCCAAACGAGCATCCACAGGATCCACAGGCGCTGGCTTTGCTTCGGGCCCGAGTGCTGCAACTCCTGGCTCATCCTTCGGCTGACTTCAGTCGTCTTCTGAGCTGAACCGCTCGAACCGCCAGTAGCCCGGACCTTCGGAACCTGCTCCATCTTCTCCAAGGACCAGTCTCACTTAAGTATGCAAACCTCCAGAGCTCCAAAGAGGGCTGGTGCTGTCTCATGCGTTCATAACTCAGATATCCACCTATTTCTGGTGATCTTAGATTCCTCCAAATCCACATCCGAGTTTATCTCGACACCAGAGTTAGTGTAGGTTAATATGTTAGCGCATATTCACTCACTATCATTAACTTTAGTGCTCCTAGCCTGACTCAGAATCTTTATTTATTCACCTATTATTATTTTATCCTCATTATCTTATCATCATTTATTGCATGTGTGTTGTACCATCATTTATCCTGTAATAAACAGATCATTATTTTTCTAAGTTCCTGTCTGTTAGTGTTCTTCCAGAAGTGGAGTCCCTGAAATTAGAATTTCGACTTAAGATATGAGACTGATTAATTAAGACTGATTAATTAAGACTGATTAATTAAAACTGACTTGATGTTTGATTTCTGAATTAAACTTTTGTTTCTTTATTTTCCCACCATTAAGGGTGGGTGGTGCCCCTTTCAACGAGTGCATAAATGTCATAATTTGAGATTATTAATCTTCAGACATTTATTATAAATTCCAATCGCCAAGTATTATTTTGGTGCGGCCTTGTGAGGCTCATTTCAAATCGCTACATATATTTTGGTGCGACCGTATGAGGCTCATTTCAATTCACTACAGGAACATGTTTCAGACCTTTGGGAGTTAGTTAGACAAAAAAAAAAGAAAAAGAAAAAAAAAATATTTGGGGTGTTTGGGTTTTCTGAAGGTAATACCCGGTATTAGGTTATGGGGCTAGGATAAGGTTTAAGGTTTTTGGCGTTAGAGTTAAAATCAGTGTCCAAAACCTTTTTAGGAACATGTTTAAGACCTTTTGGAGTTGGTTACACCAAAAAAAGATGTAAAATGAAAAAAAAATATTTGGGGTGTTCGGGCTTCCAGAAGGTAATACCCGGGTATTAGGTTTTGGGGCTAGGGTAAGGTTTAAGGTTTTTGGTGTTAGGGTTAAAATCACTGTCCAAAACCTTTGTAGGAACTCTTTTCCAACCTTTTGGAGTTAGTTAGACCAAAAAAAAGAAAAAAGAAAAAAATATATTTGGGGTCTTCGGGCTTCCTGAAGGAAATACCCAGGTATTAGGTTATGGGGCTAGGGTAAGGTTTAAGGTTTTTGGCGTTAGGGTTAAAATCACTGTCAAAAACCTTTTTAGGAACTTGTTTCAGACCTTTTGGAGTTGGTTACACCAAAAAAAATGTAAAATGAAAAAAAAATATTTGGGGTGTTCGGGCTTCCAGAAGGTAATACCCGGGTATTAGGTTTTGGGGCTAGGGTAAGGTTTAAGGTTTTTGGTGTTAGGGTTAAAATCAATGTCCAAAACCTTTGTAGGAACTCTTTTCCAACCTTTTGGAGTTAGTTAGACCAAAAAAAATAAAAAAGAAAAAAATATATTTGGGGTCTTCGGGCTTCCTGAAGGAAATACCCAGGTATTAGGTTATGGGGCTAGGGTAAGGTTTAAGGTTTTTGGCGTTAGGGTTAAAATCACTGTCAAAAACCTTTTTAGGAACTTGTTTCAGACCTTTTGGAGTTGGTTACACCAAAAAAAAATGTAAAATGAAAAAAAAATATTTGGGGTGTTCAAGCTTCCTGAAGGTAATACCCGGGTATTAGGTTATGGGGCTATAGTAAGGTTTAAGGTTTTTGGCGTTAGGGTTAAAATCACTGTCCAAAACCTTTGTAGGAACTATTTTCCAACCTTTTGGAGTTAGTTAGACCAAAAAAACGAAAAATGAAAAAAAATATTTGGGGTTTTCGGGCTTCCTGAAGGTAATACCCGGGTATTAGGTTTTGGGGCTAGGGTTAGGTTTAAGGTTTTTGGCGTTAGGGTTAAAATCACTGTCCAATATTTTTTAAGGAACATGTTTCAGACATTTGGGAGTTGGTTAGACAAAAAGAAAAAGAAAAAGAGAAAAAAAAATTTGAGGTGTTCGGGCTTCCTGAAGGTAGTACCCGGGTATTAGGTTATGGGGCTAGGGTAAGGTTTAAGGTTTTTGGCGTTAAAGTTAAAATCAGTGTCCAAAACCTTTTTAGGAACATGTTTAAGACCTGTTGGAGTTGGTTACACCAACAAAAAATGTAAAATGAAAAAATATATATTTGGGGTGTTCGGGCTTCCTGAAGGTAATACCCGGGTATTAGGTTTTTGGGCTAGGGTAAGGTTTAAGGTTTTTGGTGTTAGGGTTAAAATCACTGTCCAAAACCTTTGTAGGAACTCTTTTCCGACCTTTTGGAGTTAGTTAGACCAAAAAAAAAGAAAAAAGAAAAAAATATATTTGGGGTCTTCGGGCTTCCTGAAGGTAATAAGGTTTAAGGTTTTTGGCGTTAGGGTTAAAATCACTGTCCAAAACCTTTTAAGGAACAAGATTCAGACCTTTTGGAGTTGGTTACACCAAAAAAAAATGTAAAATGAAAAAAAAAATATTTGGGGTGTTCGGGCTTCCTGAAGGTAATACCCTTCAGGTTTAAGTATGAGGTTATGGGACTAGGGTAAGGTTTAAGGTTTTTGGCGTTAGGGTTAAAATCACTGTCCAAAACCTTTTTAGGAACATGTTTCAGACCGTTTGGAGTTAGTTAGACCAAAAAAAAAAACAAAAAATGAAAAAAAAATATTTGGGGTGTTCAAGCTTCCTGAAGGTAATACCCGGGTATTAGGTTTTGGGGCTAGGGTAAGGTTTAAGGTTTTTGGCGTTAGGGTTAAAATCACTGTCCAAAACCTTTTAAGGAACAAGATTCAGACCTTTTGGAGTTGGTTACACCAAAAAAAATGTATAATGAAAAAAAATATATTTGGGGTGTTCGGGCTTCCTGAAGGTAATACCCTTCAGGTTTAAGTATTAAGTTATGGGGCTAGGATTAGGTTTAAGGTTTTTGGCGTAAGGGTTAAAATCACTGTCCAATATTTTTTAAGGAACATGTTTCAGACCATTTGGAGCTAGTTTGACCCAAAAAAAAAAAAGAAAAAGAAAAAAATATATATTTGGGGTGTTCGGGTTTCCTGAAGGTAATACCCGGGTATTAGGTTATGGGGCTAGGGTAGGGTTTAAGGTTTTTGGCGTTAGGGATAAAATCACTGTCCAAAACCTTTGTAGGAACTCTTTTCCAACCTTTTGGAGTTAGTTAGACCAAAAAAAACGAAAAATGAAAAAAAAAATATTTGGGGTTTTCGGGCTTCCTGAAGGTAATACCCGGGTATTAG